TGCTTTGCAGTTGTGGATGATGCCAACCTGTGACGCACAAAAGTCTGGTAACTCTTTAATGGCCAGTGGCATCTTATGAAAGAAAAAATGTCTCCACTTCCCCCGAGCAAGAAAATATCACACTTTTTGCTCAGTAAACTAGAAAAAAACAGTTATCAGGATGGTAATGCTGGGAAATGCATTGCAAGTATAGTTCTGTAGCCACAATTTCGTTTTGAACATCATTGTTGGGGATTCAAGTGTGTTTCTTTTGGTTTTAATAAAACCCTAATGTATAAAACCGCCCAAGAGATGGGATGTTTGGGAACATTTTTCCTATATTTGGTCATTGTCTTGTACAACAACTTACCACTATGTGTGAACTGAACTCCATCTGTCATAAATAGACAAGCAATACAAGTGACGCATGTCAGTGATTCCCACTTAATTTGCCCAAAAATGAGTCTTTATTCACTCATTTATCATCCATCTATCAGCCACGTATCGCGACAGACAGAACAGTTAAATACTCTTCCAATGGCAGAAGATACAAATAACCATGAACGCACACAATGGAATACAGTCATATTTTTTGTTTTGTTTCACAAAACAAGCCCAGATTTTACGGTGAATAGGTTAATTTGTGAGTAACTTGAGACAAAATGAATCATTTTCCACCAAAATGAAAACAACATATCTATTTTACAAGAAACATATAGCAGTCACTTTATTTAGTTTCGTGAGATACATAACATGATGTGGCAGGCCGAATCTGGCCCTTGAGTTTGACACATTAATAAACAGGTCTATAACAATACAGTATTTGCATATTACATAAGAAATCCCGTGAACATTGTGCATATTGGTTGATTCCTAATTATGTAATAGCTGTATTCACTAAAAATCAAAGCAGAGTGAGACGATTGCCTTCTCTCCTATCTATGGACGAACTCATTGATATCGAATTGAGACAGACGCGTTTGACTGCTACTGCGCACGCGCTGTTGTGACGTAACGCAATTTATGCGCATAGAAAAGCTCCAGGCGGCGTCGGCTCGCCAGCATTGCTCGCATCCAGCTGCCAGCAGCAGAAGTGAGCATTGTTTAACTGTTCACCCCGAAGCTAGTCTGACAGGTTATGGCCTTGCCACAGTGCTAAAGGTGTGTCAAAGAAAGAGAAAGATTCCAAAAGAATGATGAAGAAGGATATTAACTTGACTCTGAGCGACGCAGAGATTAAGCCCCACCTTCGCGACGTTGACGGCATCTTGGGCCCCTCGGATTTGGGGCTGCTCAAACTGTCCTCGCCGGAATTGGAGAGGCTGATCATCCAGTCCAACGGGATGGTCACCACCACGTCGAGTGGCTCCCACTTCCTGTTCCCAAAGCCCGTGACGGACGAGCAAGAGTTCGCCGAGGGATTCGTCAAGGCGTTGGAGGATCTGCACAAGCAGAACCAGGGACCGGCGAACGGCACTTTGGATTTGGTCCCCAACATCAACATCGCCGCGGTTACGACGCAGCTGGATCTGCCCGTGTATACGAACCTCAACAGCTACGGCAGCGGGCCCTCGGAGACCACCGTCAACTACTCCACGGACACGGTGCCTTTCCCACCCCCACCGCCGCCTCACCTTTTCGCCGGAGCGCCTTCGGCGGAGCCGGAGCTCTCCAGCCGAGCGCACCCGCCCAAGGAGGAGCCTCAGACGGTGCCGGACGTGCAGAGCTTCGGGGACAGCCCGCCGCTGTCTCCCGTCGACATGGACTCGCAAGAACGGATCAAGGCCGACAGGAAACGGCTGCGGAACCGGATCGCCGCTTCCAAGTGTCGCAGACGCAAGCTGGAGCGGATCTCCAGGCTGGAGGACAAGGTGACGACGCTGAAGAACCAAAACACTGACTTGGCGTCTACGGCCAACGTCCTCAGAGAGCAAGTGGCCCAGCTCAAGGAGAAAGTCCTCACACACGTCAACAGTGGCTGTCAGCTGTTACCACACGAGGTTCAGGTGCACTAGACCAGCTTTTCACAACAAGAGGCCAATTTTACATGAGACAAATCTCACGGGACAACAACAAACTAAAATATCACCAAAAGCATACAGACTGAAATCATGACAATTGTTCACAATAGTTAGGTTGTAAAAAATGGCAAACGCTTGCATACAATGGTTTTCAATTTTTGTGGTTCTCCAAGCTCCACAATAATGACCAATATTAAAAAAATACAGTAAGCTAGTAGTCCAAAGTCCTAAAAAGCAAAAAGATAAGCCAGAAGTTTTATTCCCCAAAAGTCTAATCATTGATTGTATATTATATGAATTCGACACGTGGGACACCAAGTACTGTCATGTATTAAAATTGAAAAGACTTGTATCATTTGAATATTGAATTCAGTGTTTCTGTCGTATGCCACTAGAGGGAGCCTTCCTAAAACTTTTACTGTACTCTGTTGTATGAATGGCAACAGATAATTGTGCTTTGTTATTTAACAGAAAACCCTTTAATTGTTCAGACCGTCACTAATTTTGGACCCAATTAGGTGAAATTGGATAATTTCCTGTTTTCATGGCACAGTAATTGGGAATCACTGCTCTTGACAAGGAGGACCCTGAAGGATCAATGCTCTATATATACTCATTAGTGGACAGTGTGTGTTGTACAGTGATGTCACTCGACTTCATGTATCACAAGGCAGCTTTTATTAACAAATCTGGGTTTCTAAAATAAGGCGCTTATCAAACATTCATGGTCAGACGTCCAAGAAAGTAATGTGGTGGGCACTTAGGAGACTTGCTCTGAGGACCATACATTTATTCATATTTGCAGTGTTATGCGTCAAATGTACTCTATGGTTACAACATAAGGTGCACCTGTACAGTTACAAGTGGTCCTTAGTACCATCACCGTTGGACATTTCAACGTACGCTCACTTACCGCCAAATTTAATATTTTTCATTTGATTGTTTAATATTTATTTGAGTGTTTTTCAGACAAATATTTACTGTCATTTTGACTGCTATTCTGTTAGCCGATGACTTACAAGTTAAGGATCCTCTGGATGATTATTTGTTACTTTTAGAAACAATGTTACATCAAAGGTATGAATTTTATGGTTGTGTAGGGTGGTGTAAAAATGCACAGCATAATACTGAGCTAATATATCTATTTTATCCATTTGAACCCCCACCCATAATGTTGCAATGCAGTTTGTCACCACTGCAAGCTTTACAGAGAAACATGTATTGATTGGATGGTATTACATTTCCCAGGTGCACATACTGATGTTTTTTTTTGCATGTTGTTGACAACCTCGAATGTAGCCAGCAGCTGAGTGTCACATTATGCAATTAATTAGCTGTGTATGACATGTCATCCAGTGTTCAAGTTTTCTATTTCAGCATTCGGGATCTCATCCCAAACCTGCAGTTAATTCTGTTTATCTTGTGAAATAAATTGTGCTCTATTAAATTCTGTATGCTTTCATTTTGTAAACATTTTTACTTCAACACAAGATTGTTTTTCAATGAAATAATTTAAATTGTAATGGAGGTTTTGTCTTTCATATAAGTAATCCTTCGCCACATTTTGAGTCATGTTTTGCTATTTCACTTCTTTGTGGTTTTTTCCTAAATTCTGTATTCATTCAAAAAATAAAAAATGGAAAAAATAAACAAAGCCGTATCGGCAGACATATTTAGAAATGTGCACAATATAGTTAGTAGTTTTTTAGTGTCTATTTTTACTTGTTTGTTTTCAATTGTGTTATATTTTATTTTCTCTTCAAATGACGGTAGCTTTTTTTGTTCACGGCACATCTCTGCCTTCATCTGCTGGCTAGTCAACAGTACAATTTTTGCTTCACAAGGACTGGCGTATGAAGCTTAATTTTATGCCTTTAATAATAAAAGCTATTCATCCATTTTCTATAGCGCTTGTCCTTATAAAGGTTGTGGGTGAAAATCAGGAAATCCTATCCCAGCTGGCTTTTAATTCAGAATTGTGTGGAAGGCATCCCCGTGTGAAAAATAGAAGAGAGGACATAGCTTTGCTCTATCCATTCTTTTTGAAAACTGTTGGTGTCAAGTCCAGCGTATCATGTGATTCACTGCTTTCTTCTTCTACTATCTTGCTAAAAAGGTCATGGCAACAGGGATTTATGCATGTGGTGGGACACAAGTTCCCATGAATAATAATTCTTATTTAAAATATTACCGGTATGTATAAAAAAGAAATATATTTAAATTTCATTGTAACTGTCTTATCTGAGAGTTGGGGGGGGGGGTGTAGGACAAGAGCGAAATAGCACTTAAGGGGAGTACTCCAGACTTATTTGGTATTTTAAAAACTCTTTTCAAGCATTTTTTATGAGTTTTTAAAAACATTTTTAGATTTGATCTCAGGACAAGTAATTTTATTCAGAAACTGCATATTTTTGTATTTTGTATGTGGAATATTTAAAATTTGATGGGTGGCACGGTGGCCCGGTGGTCCAGTGGTTAGCACGTCGACCTCACAGTGCAGAGGTCGTGGGTTTGATCCCGGCTCCGGCCTTCCTTTGTGGAGTTTGCATGTTCTCCCCATGCCTGCGTGGGTTTTCTCCGGGTACTCCAGTTTCATTCCACATTCCAAAAACATGCATGGCAGGCTGATTGAACACTGTAAATTGTCCCCAGGTATGATTGTGAGTGTGAATGTTCGTCTCTATGTGCCCTGCGATTGGCTGGCAACCGGTTCAGGGTGTCCCCCGCCTACTGCCCGAAGACAGCTGGGATAGGCTCCAGCATCCCCCGCGACCCTTGTGAGGATAAAGCGGTTCGGAAAATGGGTGGATGGGTGGCATGTGAAATGCCCTCCCATTCTGGAATAACCTAAGTTCTGAATGAAGCTTAAATTGATTTTTGGTTGTCATGTTTAATACCTTTGAGATATGTTGTGAATTCCATGTATTAAATGAGTCGATGAATGACACAGCACGATAGTTGGCCAATCAGTGTCAAGCGTAAAGAAAAACAACAGTGCACTTTCAGTTAGTAATGCTTTTATTGTTTTACCACAAAGCACAGATAAAAACACAACAGCATATTCTTTAATCTTACTGGCCCAAACTGAAGGTGTGAAGGGGCTGGGTGGAATAGGCAATGAGACAAGACCAAATGCACGTCAGGATCTAAAGTCAGCAAGTGCTGCTGAGCTGGATGGCATTTTGTTGTAGTTACTGTGTTGCTTTGTAACTGTAACTGAAATATTCATCCTCAAGCAGGCCTGGTGATATAAATGCAGAAATACAGCAACATGGCTCTTTTGTTGTTACCAACATTGTTTTTTTTCCCCCTCTCCTCTTTTTTTTTCTTTTTTTGCAAGCCTGAGTCAATAGAACACGACATCAAAGAGTCAAAGGTACAATTTTTACACTTCTGTTTCATAAAGAGAGGAAGACACGAGATAGGAGGATTCATTTTAACAGTTCGGAAAAGAAACAGTCACCACCAGAAGGACAAAATTAGTCTCCTTGCAAGTTTGTCTTGATTATTAGCATAAATAAAATCATCACTCGCTCTCTGACTGGTACATTATAACCTGACATGTTGACAACTGATAAAATGCATGCCTCAAAACAGAAAGGATGGAAAAATGCCTTATTTTATTTAATTAAAAAAAACGTTTCATGCTTTGTCCTCAATTCTTTGAGTTTATTCTCACGAGGGAGCAGGGTAAACTTGAAAAAGCTTTAATGAAATGAAATAAAATGACCCAAACTTGTGTGGAGCGAAACCATCATAACATTATTTTTTTTTAACCAACAACTGCTGATTTTGTTTCATAAAGTGCTGAATTGTTTGAACTGTAGGGCATGTCTTCATTTTAATATTTGATAAACCACATGGGCATCTAACCAGATGACGGGAATGAAAGAAACAAGCCAGTCGAGGTGATCGACATGAATTTTTTTTACCCTATGATAAATACTATTCTGTGAAAATATGAGGCAATTTAAAGTCTGTTCAGCACCATCATATTAAATATGTTACATCCATAATATTTCCAAGATCATTTGAAGCTTTGGTACATTGTCCATTAAATATAATAATAATTCCTAATATTAGTTTTTTTCAATTTGTTTTATTAGCAGCTGCATTCAGATTGGATGATAAATATAAATTGACAAATTTATATTGAATAAAGTAAAATTTCAAGTGTTAAATTAGTGATTTTACAACATCGCAGCAAAGCCGCATGAACCAAACTGACCAGGACACGAGGTAAGGAGTCAATTGCACACAAACCATCCATACAAACTTCACAACTAAGACCTGATTGATGCATATAATACTATCTTCATAGAACTGCATATCTTTTAAAAATTTACTTCCAGAAACCTATATGTGTGCGTGTGTGTGTGTGTGTATACATTTGTTATATTTATATATTTTATACAATAGTCTTATATAAACACCTGAAATACATACAATTAAATAAAATGCTATTTTGTCAACTCCCTTTTCTCTATATCTTCTTCTACCCAGTTCTTGATGCAGTAAAATAATACAATACACAATAATACAAAAACATTTGAGAAATGTAAAAAAAACATGCAGACACAATGTGAGACACACATATTCATACGTGAATGTATAAGAAAATGAACACAGCTGCATTTCAGCGGTCTGTTTCACAAAGCAGGTTCAACAAACTCCGAGTCTAATCCTGAACTCTGAGTTGATCTACTCACCTAGAGCAACGGCGAAGAGGAGGGTTGCGTATTTTACCCTAGAAGAACTGGAAATAATGCGCTCATACAGCGAGTTTGAACACATTCTCAGGAAAACGTGCAACATTGCTGCAGTTGCTGCAGTTGAGGGAGAACATAGCAATGCCTAAGATTCAACATAGTCCTTTGCAAATCCAATAATATAACGGGAAAACTGCTTGAATGGAGGCCCATTAATTTATTTTATTTAGGTGCAATCCTACGGGGTAGATGCACACTTGGCAACAGCTAAAGATGAAAAATAAAAACATTGCTCAAACTGTGCCAAGGCATAACACACTTTTCTGACCACCGTGCATATAGTTGCCTTGTTTAATTGCTCAGTGACAAAAAAAACCCCAAAAACCAACTCCATTTGCAAAGATGGATGCAATACACAATCTGCTGGGATGTGAAAGCACGACAAGGATTGGTCATGTTGTAAATGTACGGACAGATTAGGTTGTGCATGATGATGGACTGTGACATGAAACGGTACCGCTCAAAAAGATAATTGTCTGCAAATGCTAAAACATCTATGCGCGGTCTGATAACCATCTCGATGAATTTTTAATTCTCTTTGCGGTAATGCTGCACCTTCATCCACAGGATCCTTTTCAAGAGGACATGGCCTGTTTGTCCCAAACCTACTGTGCTTAATGGACTTCTCATATAGTGACTCATTTTTTTTGAAGGCAGACGGCAGAGCTAGGCTATGCCAAAATCTTATTCGATCATTCATTCAATCAGAGGAAATTAAATGGAGCGTGTGGCTTTGAAAGAGTGGGTTCATTGAGGAAAAACTTGGTCCCGGGACCAGTTTAGTTTCACAGAGTCTGTTACTACGGTAACTGACTGAGAGCTCAAGTAACCTCTCTCTTTGAAACAGACTCGTGTTACTCCTCTTTCTCTGGTTTGAGTTACCTCTCTTTTTGACACGGAAAACTCGGAGTTCCCCCTATTTCAGGGTTAACAGAGTTTTCACTGAACCTGCTTTGTGAAATGGACCCCGGGTGGAGCGGTACTTCCTACCGAGTACGCAAAACAAGACTCCATCGTTGACTTCCTGTTCACCAGATCAACAAACAGAAAGGTACTGTAAACATCAAAAGGATTTAAATGGCACTCTGATGGTGGATGGATGCCATCAAATCCTTTTAAACACACACGAAAACAAACAAAAAAATCTTTAAAAACCTCACTTTGAATTGACTCTGAAACATGATGGGGTGATTTAAAAATAATAATACATTTAAAAAAAAACGATTTTACAACTCTTTTTTGGGGGGGAGAAACATAAACAAAAGCACCTCAAGAGCTGATTGCTGAGAGAATTTCAAAATTTCAAACACTTTTACAAGATGGTTCCCGGGACCACCAGCCAATGGTCCTCCCTCAGAAGAAGGAAGCTGGAAAGTGGGTGAAAAGGGTGATGGACAATGGAAAAAGGGAGCAGATGGGCATCTTTAACATGCACAGTCCTGGTGTGGTGGAGCAGGCTGCTCTGTTAGCTGGGGGCCCTGCTTGGCCCCCGTGATGGCAGGATCACCAGCATCCAGACTCTCTGACATCTTTTCACATATAATGTCGACCAGGCGCTCAAAGGTCTGCTTTACGTTGATGTTGTCTTTGGCACTGGCCTCGAAGAATTCGAAACCTGGAACGGGGGAAAAGGACAAAAATGCTGAACGCTCATGGGGCTCATCTGTGTAGAACTGGTGTGATGTTTCAAATGACTTCTGTTAATTTCGCAAAACATAATATGGTTTAGTTCAGTTAACCAGAGAATGGTAAACACTTGTCAGACTTAATAGGATGGCATTAACTCCATCTGATGTCGAGAGCCGCGGTGTTCAAACTTTTTCTTTGGAGGCCCGCATGCAGAAAAAAGGAGGGATGCAAGGGCCACTGAGAGACTTCAATTTTAATTTAAACATCACCATCAACCATCAGTCTCACAGTGCAGAGGTGCCGGGTTCGATTCCGGCTTTGGCCTTCCTGTGTGGAGTTTGCATGCTCTCCCTGTGACTGTGTGGGTTTTATCTGGGTACTCCGGTTCCCTCCAACATTCCAAAAACATGGATGACAGGTTAATGGATAAGTCTAAATTGTCCCTAGGTGTGACTGTGAGTGCGAATGGTTGTTCGCCTCTGTGTGCCCTGCGACTGCCTGGCAACCAGTTCAGGGTGTCCCCTGCCTACTGCCCGAAGACAGCTGGGATAGGCACCAGCACGCTCACACGATGTGAGGGTAAACAGATTAGAAAATGGATGGTTGGATGAATAAGAGTGTTACTTGTGTCACTCTTCACTTCACCTCGACCCCATCCTCCTCAGCTGACACTGACAGCAGTGCTTATTGTAAAGGGCAAGAGCTTCTAGCTCTAGTTTTACACACATTCGGTGGCACCATAAAAAACATTGAAACTAGACTTTACACAATCATCAATTTTGGGTTCGATCAGCAAGTTTGGGGGAAAAAAAACCCATACTCGATCACAGATTCGATCAGAAGATGGAGCAATATATTTATTGAAACAATATTTAAACCTCAGTTACGCCTGCTCCTTTTTGGTTTATATTAGAAGCTGGCTGTATGGTACAAGTCCAAAGACTGAAAAGATTATTTTGTTTTACATTGTTTGTCCAGTTTCAACCTGGCCCATTTTCCATTTTCAAAGCTGTGTGGCTCTGGCGTAACTGTGCCGATTCGACTTTATCTACACAAATTGTATTGATTCACATTTATATTTCATCGCATCATGAGAATAGCTCATCTCAAGTTCGGTATGACCTCATTATAGCTCAGATCCTCGCTAAGCAGAAGTCTAGTGTGTCTGTCAGCAATGGAGCTCTTTCCGTGTTTATTCAAACAACAGGTCTGCCATCTGGTTGCATTTGTGACTGGCTGAATGTCGGTGGCTATGAGGAAGTAACCTTACGCTGAGTGATGAAAGCTATTTTGAATTAAAGAGATGTTAAATATTAAAGAGATAACACACATTGTGTTGTTAGTTTTTTTTCTTTTTATGTAAATAAAATGGCTTTAAGACTTTTTAACCAGTCAAAACAAAAGGGAAAAAAAACTACACGAACGCTATTACTTTGTGATAGGATGGCCGAGGCCACGGAGACGGAACTTTGCCAACAGAAAGGCTTCACAACACGCAACATGGCTTAAAAAAAAAAGATTCTCTTTCGGGCACACATATACACAATGGCAGCACAGAACAACCCCGGAGTGAACGAGGTTGTGTTTGCTGTAATGTATTATTTTGCAGATCTGATCTGTGATGTCATTGATTGATTTTTTGAAATTTGTGTAATCTAACATTTTAGATCCAGTCAATCAGATCCGTGTCAAGTCTACTTGAAATCTTTCATTGTTTTAAAATTTTTCATTTTTATTTTTTTTATGAAGTGCTAGTTTTACTCTTCTTTTTCTTCTAAACGCTGCTTCGTTTTCCTCCACCAGTGCACCATCAAGTTTATTTTGCTATTAAGTTGCTAAATCAATTCCGCACATGTGCAGTAAGAAGATGGAATAGTTCATTGCGTGAGAAGGGATCCAAATGATCACGATTGCACATTTTGCAATGTAGATTAAGATTAAAAATAATAATTCCTTTAAATCTAAGAAACTTTATTCATTAGTTTTTAGGACATGTTTGGGACCAGTTGCCTATGTTCGCATTACATCAAATTCTGTCAGACTTGGAAAAAAAAAGCTGACTTGAATCATATACTGTAGTGTAAATCCAGCCAAGCGTTACCACAAACAGGGTTCCAGGCTGTGAATAGAGTAATAAATGACAGAGAGAGGCTGAATGCACATGGTGAATCACAAATTTGCACAGCGTATATGTGTGTACTCACCGAGATGTTCAGACAGCTGCCGGCCTCTGTCTCCACTCACCATGCGCTCATCGTCCATATCGCACTTATTTCCAACCAGCAGCACCTGGGCATTATCCCATGAGTATGTCTTAATCTGGGTAGACCTGTAAGCAAACACACACGTCATGCCAAACTAAACTGTAGTACAAGACTGGGATAAAAAAAAAAAATATATATATATACACACACATACACATACACATACACACACACACACAC